GAAAACAGCAATAGCCTTGGTAATCAAATCAACATTTATTCCTCTAGGAAATCAGGAAACAGAATCCCATAAATCTGTGCGTTACTGATATTTTACGATCCTCCAGTGAATGTATTTCACAAGTTCTACGGATGGTGACAAATTCTGTTGATTCCATTCATTGAAACAGTGTTTATTCTGATCCAGATTTTTTTTTTACCAAGTTGTTAGTAGCTGAAAAACCTCACAGCTATAGATGATTGAAGCACAATATGGCATTACTTAAAATTTTAATGTAAATGCTTGTTTCAAGCAAAAAATCTACTACAACTTAACCATAAATTGAGTCAAATAAATATCAGCAATCTTAATGAGAAATGTATGTCTATTCCAAAAGAGTTTCTCACCAGAAAACCACTCAAATCTTTAATGGGTGGTAATTTGGATGTTTTTAATAGTGACACAAAACAAAACAAATATTACATAGTGTGTAAACATTCAAACTTTTTATAAGGGAGATAACTCCACAAAGTTATGTTATATATAACATAACATACCTTGTTAAGGTAATAGGATTGTGTCACCATTTCTCAGTAGAATTTCTTCAAATTTTGTAGTTATATTGCTTTAAAGTAAAGAAAATTTTCTGCCACAAAAAAAATAAAGGTTGTCAGAATTTTAAGGATTTTAAATTGAAATTTATGTAAAAAGGAGTGAATTTTGAAATAAAAATGAAAGACACAATATTTTTACAAAATAATGTCAACTAGAACACTGACAGGTCAGTAAGGGCCCCGTCTAGTGGCAATATATCCCCCATAATCATCAAGAAGCAATCTGCCCATATAGCTGAGCTTAACGCTTGACATTTGGACTTCAAAAAGAATGGCAATTAGGAAGCAAAATATACATTTTACATGTACTATGATGTGAGTCTTGTTTCCTTCCACCTCCATATTTGCCTGGCTAACAGAAATGTAAATACTGGTGCAACACTAATTTGTTAGCTTTGATTTGTTTTATTTCAGCTTATATACCTCCTCCATCAAGAGCCAGGGTCAAAGTTAGAGATCCACTTTGTCTTTGACCTTTGGACCCAAATGACCTTGACCATTAACCCAGTGACCCTGAACTTTGGTCAGTTGACTTATTCTTTAATTCTGACCATTTTTGCTTCTTGATATCATAACAAAATGTTCATCAGTGAAAAATACAAAACTTGACCTTGACCCCTTGGACCCCGTAACTGAGACCTAAGGTCAGTTGACTTTGGGTTAAGTTCTGAACAACATTGCTTCATAATGTCATAACAAAATGTTCATCAGGGAAAAGGTACAAAATTTAACCTTGACCTTTGACCCAATGACCTTGACCTTTGGTCAGTTGACTCCTTGTTTAATTCTGATCAACTTTGCTTCATCATGTCATAACAAAATGTTCATCAGTGAAAAGATGCAAAATTTGACCTTGACCTTTGAA